CAGAAATTTACGGGCTACAATTATGCCTCATTAAAAAAAGGTTTGGACTATTTTTTAGAGTTTCTGAAAAGCTGGTTTTTCAGAAAGACGGGTCTTCAAGAGCCATGGGCACGAACGCTTTTAGAGTTTTCTTAGTGTCAACAAGGTCTACCTATGAACAAAATATGGAGTCGAAACCGCTGGATCAGTTGGGGTAGTTCCCTCGATTAGATACAGGTTGAGTTTTTTTTTAAAATTCTACTCGAAGAAAACGGATGTCATTAATTTATGTTTGTTTCAATGAAGATATAAACCAGATAGAGGTGTTTATTGTTAAGAATATTAGCTAAATATCATTTATTTATTAGACGAACTTTCAATGTATAACTCACATTATCTTTTTCAGACTAAAACTAATTATACATATACGGGATTCACATATTGATTGTTCTAGATAGTATCTCTGTCATATGTTCCCATGATACTAGCCAAAAAATGGACAATAACAGACTCTCTTAGTTCTCTAGCCATGTCAATGAAAAGAGACGTTGTTTATTGTTATTTTTTTTCTTCTTGTATGTAGATAAGGTGACATATGTTGTTGTTTTTCCACTTTTGCATTTCGGATACTGTTACAAAGTTGTCTGATATGGCTTTGAACGTTTGCACTCGTGCACATCTCTATCACGCTATGATTTTTACACTATAGAGCATATAATGAATCACATTATTTGTAGATGTTAATACGAAAGTGTTTATTATCACTAAATAAAACAGATTTAATTTATTCTCCGATATTTATTCGTACATTTAAACGTTTTGGTGAATATGTTAAAAGTTATGGATATCAGCCGAAACATTATCAAGGAGGTAACTCAACTGACTCTCTTCTCTTATTTTAAACAATTTTTCTCTTTTTCTTCTCATAGGTTTACTACCTCGACCAGAAACCATGCAAAATGATCCACCAGATTATTTACCACCATTCATTGATCCAAAAGAATGGACATTAGAAAATGCAACATTTGGACAAAATGATTATATTGGTAAGCAAAATGTTCGAATCAAAGAGAGTTATCAAAATATTTATTATTTTTTCAGATATTCTTGGCGATGAAACGATTGAACATTGGCAATTAGTACGTAATGCACCATTTTGGTTACGTGGTTTTGATGGTAACGAACTACAACATCTACTAAGACGTATGAGATATGATGGAAAAAAATTAGAAGAAGAAAAACCACAAAAATATTCAGATTTAATTACAAGAATACGGTATTT